TTGCTACAAATGCTTTATTTTGCTCTATATAAAGCTAATGCTTTGTGATTTGAATCTTATAGGCAGAAAACAATGACATGTTTCACGAACAACAATACCATATTCAATTCATACTTGTTCCGGGTATTAGTGTACTTGTTCACCTCATATACCTAAAATTAAAAAATGTTTCTTTGTTTGTTGAATTTTGCACAAAGTTATTCGAGGGCTATCTTTGCTAACTGTCCCTAATTTTGAAGTGACGGACTAGAGGTAAGGAAAATAGTCAACACCACTCACCGCCAACTCTTAGGCTAATCTCTACCAACGAACAGCCACACTGTAACACTTTGGCGGCATGTTGTTGTTCTTTCATTTATTTATGTTTTATGTTCGCACATAAGTAAGATTTATGAGTTAAAGCTTCTTTATAAAGAAGTTCTGTAAATACACACACACACACATATATATATATATATAAGCAGGAGTAAACTCTAAACATGTATGTATATGATGATGTCGCCAGGCTCTCGAACCATGAATTAACCAAAATCACAAGTATTGTGGAGTTTGTTTGTGTGCTTGTTTTCCCAGGAAGTTTCAGGAAACTACAATATGAGTAATGAATCTACAAAAACGGAATAGTTAGTTTTAATTAAGAGTATGAAAGACACACTTTTAGTCATTATTTCAGACAATATAGTGAGAGGACATTTAAATGCCAGAAGTTGTAATTTGTATTGTGTATTTCCAGGAACATTAAACTTTTGCACTAAGGTACAGACGTTGCTGTCGTATAATCCTAGGATTCATGATTTGTAAAATCATTCTCTGAACTTTTGGAGTGCGTTATAAGAGAGAAGGTAAAAATACCTCTTTTCGATTAAAATAACTTAAGAGGTAATTTAGCTTGTTGTTGACTAGCTGTCTTCCATCTATTCTAACAGGAAATATTAAAATAAAGACTTTTTACCACATACAAATATCAAACGACATTGAAATCAAGCTAGCAAAAACATCTCCCACATCCTTATGTCTATACCCTAGTGAGATCAGGAGTGTGTTTTCCATTACACAACGATTGGTGATAAAACACAAATTAATTAAAAAAAACATGTTCTTATTCAGTTTTTAAGCAATAACTAATACTGTCAATTTTAAGCTAGTCAGAGATATTTTCTTTCCTAAAATCTGGAATACGAAAATGCTAAATAACTTTGATCTGCATCAGTAGTAATCAAATATATCTTTTTTACGTCGCGTCGAATTATAATGGGTTCGTATGTTATCATATCGAACAGCGAAATATCTTAAACATTCATATAAACTTTAATATTCTCCAAATTCAGGCTACTAGAAGCGTAGTCTTAAAATTGAACTTTCATGAACCTATGTTTTTATAGATCATGTATAAAGGTAATAAAATATCAAACTCCTAACGTTTAACAGCTTACTGCTGAGGCATTGTGATAAATATATGTTCATGATATTTTATTACCTTTATACATGATCTAAAAAAGCATAGGTACAAAGATTCAATTAAAGACAAAAACACAAAACCCTATAGGCCAAGCGATTTTGAAAGGTGTCTCTTCATCAGAGCCAAACTGAGAATGCCCTTGATGGAAAAAAGTCCACCTTTCGAAAACGCTTAAGTTAAAGTGTTTCTAATTTTTATCTATATTAACCTTTATGGATATCCATTATGGTAAGGATATTAGTTGAGATCAACGAGAGAATTAATTTAGAATTATTTAATCTAAGAAGTCCTTGGTGGCTTAGAGGTAAACTGAAGACTTATAACGTGAAATATATGGGTTACATCCCTGCGGTGGTCCCTGCCGTTTAGAACATACAAATAAACACATCCTCCAGTAATATTAGAAGATCAATTATAAAATATTTCAGAAGTATTTAAAAAATGCTGAGTTACCACCCAGTGGCTCATCTGTAAACCGCAATAAAAAACACACTATACTTCCACTTTTGAGGTAGTTACATTGTTATTGTCTTTCCTGCGGTTCAGTTCCGTATAAAAAGATAATGCATACAATGGTAAATATAAGTTTATCATATAATATCAACATGCAAAAATAATAATCTATAATTATTTTTATGTCGTGCACACCGGGGTTGTTTTCTCGGTAGCTATCATAATTGGGATGATTCGTTTGACGAAAAAACAACAACTTCAATAAAATAATCACAAATACCATTTTAGAATTTTTCGCTTATTCTTATGAAATTCCGTAAACTAGAAAATCAACTGACTAAATTCTATCGAAACAACTATAATTACTTTAACCTGTGGAAGAATAAGTTCGTTTAACTGCAGGTAATGTTTTAATCTCAATTCAGCAACGTGACAGTTACTGCTTTGTCAGAACGTCTCGGTCACACTTGTGCCTAAAGAAGTGCCGCATACTGCCATTATACGGATCGTGGTTTAATAACTTTGGAGAAAGGCCTAATCTTAAAGAATCAAGTAGACTTTTGACAGGTAAAATAAATTCACTTTAACATTGACTCCACACAAATAATGTTTACACATGAGTTGGTGATGCAATCGAACTGTTAATGATAATACAGGATTTTGTGTCTAATATGAGTAAATGTATTTCATATTTTAAGCATTACCAGCGAAGTGTGAACAAACTTAGAAACTAAAACTAGCTGCAGGATTAGATGTGTTATGAAAGAGCATACCGATGTGTGTATAAACAATATATTCACCGAGGTGTTGCAATAGCTTCAGTGGCTCAAACACGTGCATACTTGGGGAAGCGGATTCAAACTGGATAAAGAGATGTAGTTAGGGGTATGTGACTTGTGACGGATTTAGTATTCTATATATATATTAATATCAATGTTTGTTTAAATTAAATTTATATTTAGAAATATACATAACACATAGTGTTAAATATGTATTGCGAAACTCCCGTCTATTCTCTAAAGTTGTAGAAGATTCTCGAGTGTAAGAATCAACAATATATGTGTGTGTGCGTAAACGCTAATGTAGCTTGTACTGTTACGTAATCTGAATTCTCGAGAAACGTCTATAAATATAACCAACGCGACGCACCAAAAAAACAGTATCTATTATTGAGTTGTTGTAATTGGTGTGCTATAAACTTTGTAAGCTATAACTGTGATTAACGCTTATTAATCGGGAACTTCAGATATATTGACCAGGAACGTTTATAAATTTCGAACATTACAAATCATTCAACTTCAGTGGATTCACGTCGGACATTAGTACTTTTACGAAAACATTACCTAACGTCACCGGTAGTAAAAATCGGGGTGTGATCAGTGAATTTCACAGAGCTAGCTAGCTCCCTGTTAAGTGAATTGTACCTACATCAACTGGAAATTAAATCGCTCACCGTGAACCCTCGATAATATATCAAGGAAGTTCCAGACTAGAAAGAAGACTTTATATTACTTGTAAGTTTGTAAAACTTTTGTATATAAATCATTGTGTGTAATAACTGTTGTAAATGGTATTATTGTTTGTATATTAAAACATATTTCTATTAAAAAAGAAACTGTGTGTATCAATATTGTTGGCAAATATCATAAATTGGATACATATCGGCATTTATTTAACTGCTGAATTTAAACTACCATTTAGCTCGGATTCAGACCATTCGAAATTGTAACACGTTACAGACTTCTAATTATAGGAGACTTAAAACAAGCTCCCAATATATAATCTGCTAAATACAAATTGCCATAGTAAAGTCAGCTGTAATTTGAATTTATCGAAAACGTATTATACTTAATCGCGCAAGTAAACATCCCAGAATGCATTTGAAATTTGTCTTACATTTTTTTGTTACAAAACAGCCGTATTGTATATTAATTGTTAAAAATTCGAATATAGGGAGTCACCTATATGTTTAAAACACCTCAGATTGGCCAAATTGCGATGTATTGCACAGCTATTAACATTAAACACAGTCCTCTAAATAATAGAGGCTTAATGTATCAAGTAATGTTCGGCAAATAAATCTGAAATAAATAAAAACATCTTCAAACATACGAATAGTCAAATATCAGGAAAGTTAAGAATAATGAGCATGAGCAGCTGTGTAAAATAAATACGACTATTTTAATTGGCATGATATAAATTATTCGTGGCTTGTAACGGAACAGCATGAAGATATATCGAATGAATAAGATATGGGGCCCTCAGCGCTTTTATGACCAATCACTCTTCTTTCTTTCTTTTTTGTCAAAAATTAATTTTTTGTTTAAAAATTTTTAAGCATCTCAAACACCATAAAAATTGAAGAGAATACAAACCGATTAAAGTAGGAATAAGAAGATATACTAAGCTAATCGGAACATCGCTAAACGTCAGTAGTATGATGCCAATAAAATCAAAACATCGCTAAACGTCAGTAGTATGATGCCAATAAAATCAAAACATCGCTAAACGTCAGTAGTATGATGCCAATAAAATCAAAACATCGCTAAACGTCAGTAGTATGATGCCAATAAAATCAAAACATCGCGAAACGTCAGTAGTATGATGCCAATAAAATCAAAACATCGCTAAACGTCAGTAGTATGATGCCAATAAAATCAAAACATCGCTAAACGTCAGTAGTATGATGCCAATAAAATCGAAACATCGCGAAACGTCAGTAGTATGATGCCAAGAAAATCAAAACATCGCAAAATGTCGCCGACATTATTGAAAACGAATATTTAATAAATTCTTCTAAAACAAAATTCAACGTTACCCGAAAACATGCGTATAGATGATATATTAGAAAGCTAAAAACAATAAGTATTATACGGCGTTCGTTTTTTTTTCTACTTGCTTTAAAAAGCTTTTGCATACAATTTAAGCGAACAACATCAAAGAAAACTGACTTACTTAAAACTTGTTGAAAAAAAATTAATTTCTAAGTTATTGCAACGTATACAATATCCTGGTAGGCATAGCAATATCATTCGGTTCCATCATATAAAGAATACCTTTTAACATGAAATTTATCTATAATTTTCAGCACCACCTCATTTCCATGTCAAACCGCCTGACGTCGAGTATGTAAAAACTGGGGAAAATTTAACTCTTCGTTGTGCCGCAGAAGGAACCCCCGACCCCGTTATCACCTGGTATATGGTAGGTGGTTAATGTAAACCTTGAATCCCTTAATAGCAAGAAACTGTAGCTTTACATTAAAAGTGAGAATAACATAGCGGTTAGTAATCAATTAATGGTTGATTATGAATGAAGTTTACATGAAACTTGTTATCTTTGTTTTAAATAAAGAAGAACACTACTGAATATCTAAATATTATTGTTAAGAGAACTTAAAATATAATAACAATGAAACACCTATAGAATATATATTTGTATCGTTTTCAGCTACATGTGTGAAACAATACAGTTTATATGTAAAATATATAGTTGGTGTCTAAAAGTGTGTGATGTATTTTGTTTGAGAGTAAGACGCACATACATATATTTTCGTCAAAGGTATATAAATATATATATAATTTTATCAATCTCAGACTATCAACACATTTCATTGATACATCGAAGAAAAGAAAATATTAACTAAAGTCATAATTTAATACAAGTGGTGTAGCTATAAATCATCAGTTGCTGCGCAGCTGAAAAAAATTCAAATACAATCCCTGTTGGATAATTCAGTGACTGCGTTAACTTGATTCCACAAATGGTGGTTCATGTATTTCACTACAGCCATATATTTAAAGGGTTTTACTGCGTTAACTTGATTCCACAAATGGTGGTTCATGTATTTCTCTACAGCCATATATTTAAAGAGTTTTCCAGAAACCTGTAGGCTGAGAAATATCATTAAATATACTTGTTCAAGTTTTTCATAACAATTATAAACAGGATAGGCTATTCTTGATGATACAATACATATTATTAATTCTTCTTAATGATATAAAGCATAAAGCAAGATATTGTTGATGACACAAAACATTTGCAATAAATTATACAATGTATATGATGAATTAATGTTAATTGAATCGGTTTTTAATTCGAAAAATAGAAATATTTAAAATTAGCTATAAGAGTATTTGAAGTAAAATACGTGAGATAATTGGCCATAAATTGAATTGAAAATAATGAACATAATTCCTCAACCCAAAAGTCGGAAACACAATGTCACATTTCATGAAATATTTGCATAAAATGAGATTTGACATAAATGCGAAAATCTTAATTTTAGATAATGAATATATATTGATCATTGGTTATTTTAATGGCCCTAACAATATCTCACCACTGATTCAAGATTGTTGTTACTTATTTAAGAGTTCAATTCGAATATTTTCCTTCTTTCTCAGTTTTACTATTATTTTATACTAGCAGATTCCACTTGAATCAATTCAACTGCAATTTTCATAACAATAGTAATAAATAAGTATAAATCAACCATATTCCTTCTATTAAAGTGTATATGCAATAGGATTGTCTTGAGGGTCGTTTACAAATGTCTTTTGTCATTTCGTGTGTTATTTCAGTAAGGAAAATTGTACTGCGTTTGTTTTTAAGCAAAACACTGTTGTCGAAAGTGTTTGGGTTTCGATCAATTGGTTCATCCAGCACAATATAACACTCAGGTTCGATAAGTAGCCTTTTCTCTGGATTCTACTGTTATCATTTTATTGAGGGCAAGGAAAGACCGCTACTGAAGTGAGCGCTTTTAGACAGTTGTTATTTCTATAAGAAGCGTCAAAGGGGAAATATTCAAATCAATTTATTCGACATGGTACAATACAATCATGCATGTATAAAATACCGACATGAAAAATTAACATATAAATATAAACTAAGCAACAAATATATACTCAAACACGTCCCTCTCATTATGCGTTTTTTTTTCGTTTATGGTCCTATTTTCGAAATATGTATTTCAGTAAATCGATGGAGGAAGTCCTGTTTTTATCGTGAAGTTCCTTCACAAAAAGAAACGCTTTTGTACTTAATAAGTATTTTAGATTGACTGTTCAACACACAACACATACGATGACAATGATACGAAATTTTTGAAATTGCAAAAAATGAATAGTTTCCTGTAATGTACTTCTGAAAATAAGCATTTGATATATACATATATATATATATATTTCTATGATTAACCATTCAAGAGGTACCGAGCGTGACTGACAGACATTTGTTTAGATAACGATAATTCGTTATCATGGAATAACTCTTTATAAAATCACTTAGAACTTCTATAAATGAGATGGAAACACGATTTGATAATGTGGTAAAGACTAGGGAAAAGACATTTTTCGACCAAGAGATTTGTCAACCATGATGAGAACAGTTTTACAATCTCTAGCCATCCTAGGATAAACAGAATGTTATGGAAACCTAGGATGATGACATACGACCTCTTTTTGTTGCCTTCCACATGTAATAACATAGGATGGCAAAGAAAACTCACAGTGGTAAAAGTATTGTGAATTCTAAGATATTTTTAACTAGCTCAAGCATTACTAGGTGCACGGTTGAGTAGCTCCTAAGCAAAATGCACGATGGAATGTAAGTGATGGACGAAGTTTTCTATTAAATTCATCAATAACTAGGAAAAATACATAAAGTTGCTTATTAAGCTACATCACACTGAGTGAGGTTCATAGTAGATCTATTTATGTTAATTAAGCAAATTTTTCAGTTGAGGCAATTAAAATATTCATAGACCTAGCCTTTATGAGTGAAATCATAATTATCGGCTCGTTAAAAATGAAATCATGTACAGAGTACTTATTGTTTTCAACCAGCTTTTATTAATATATTTGTACAATCTAACTATTTCTGAGTTTGAGGATATTACTTAATGTTTTATTTCAATATTATTTCTGAACAATTTAGTTATTGTACACGAATTTTGTGTTAATTACATTTAGCTTTAATATTTGGACATGATTTTTGCGTTTGGAACACGAATATTAATTTGGATTATATTTAATCCGTGTCTGAAGTCAAAACGGATTTGTGAACACATAGGCTACGATGTCTTTTGAGTTAAAAACATTAGTTACAGCTTGAAAGTAGTTAGCTTAACTTCAATTACCAATGTAAGCAGTTGACTTGCAGCTTTACTCCATCTCCACTGAAACTAGTGCTTTGCCTTTTAGGAAATCAGACAATGATGAGAAAACTCACGCGCAAGTGAGAAGGCTACACTGTCTGATTGGTAAGCCCATTGCGAAGAGCCAAAATTGTCAGTGGTTTAGTTACATAGCTATGTATTGTGTGAACCGTTCCATAGAAGCTTTGGGGATTGGGTATTTAATGGTTGGGACTAACGCGCTCTTTATAGTGTCAGATGCGCCATTTTCATAGATTAGATTACAAAAATTAACAAAATTTCAT